TTTTTTTTTTTGGTTTTCTGGGGATTATGTTGTTGGAACCTCCAGTTTACTCCTGCATAATCTAGAAAGTCCCTTTCCTGTCTCTCTCTCTCTCTCCAAACCTCGCCTGCCACCTAAAAGCCCAATTCTGCGTTCTTGGTGGTTACTGCAGTTGCCAGCTGCCCAAGTCCCTGCCTTAAGGGCTCAGCTTTTTACTTGGGCACAAACCCAGCTAGTGGCAGACTCATCATCACCCCTCGCCTACACCCTATAAAGTCTCCCTGCTTTCGTTTGTGGACCTGACTTCTCCAGCTTTCATCTCTGGGACTGGAGAACCCATCCAGGGCTGCTTTGCTCAAATAAACCTGTTGTCATACTTTTTAAATTTGGCTTGATCTAGCTTACTGTGTTGGAGGAGAAACCTATTGTTGGGGGACAGAAAACCTATTAATTTCATTAGCCCATTTGTTGATTGGAAGTTTCATTTCCTTGGGGGTTAATTTCTGTGGTTCTTTGTAAATGAATGTCACATTTCATACATCTAGAATTATTATGCAATCAGAAAGGGCCAGGAATAGCCAAAATTCACCAGGTGGGGGTGGTACATGCCTTTAATCCCAGTACTAGGGAGGCAGAGACAGATGAAGTTCTGTGAGATCAAGGTCAGCCTGATCTACCAAGTGAGTTCCAGAACAGGCTCCAAAGTTACAGAGAAATCCTGTCCCAAAAAACCAAAACCAAAAACTATAGGAGAGTGCTCTTTCATTTCCCGGCTGCCCAAATCTGAATAATCACACAGAAGCTATATTAATTACACCACTGTTAGGCCATTAGCTTAGGCATATTCCTAGCTAACTCTTATATTGTAAATTAACTCATTTCTATTCATCTGTATCACCATGAGGCTGTGGCCTACCAGGTAAGGTCCTGCCATGTCCTTCCCTTTGGCAGCTACACAGCATCTCCCTGACTCTGCCTACTCTCTCCCTCTATCTCTGTCCAGATTTCCTGTCTGGCTTTACTCTGCTAAGTCATTGACATAAGCAGCTCTTTTATTAACCACTAAAAGTGCAACAGGTATACGGAAGGACATCCCACATAATAAAAAAATCATCCTAAAGAGTAAGCACACAACTTGGAGGAATCATAATATGAACCTCAACTTAAACTATGTGTGAGTGTGTGTGTGTGTGTGTGTGTGTGTGTGTGTAGCAAAAACATGCAGTGAGGGGGGAAAAAGTCTATTTAACAAATAGTAGTGGCCAAACTGCGCCCCTGCAGGAGAATGGACTTAGATCCATATCCTTTACCTTGTATAAAGATCTATTAAAGTGAATCAAAAACCTTACTTTAAATCCTGAAATGCTGAAGCGTCCAGAGCAGTGGTTCTCAGCCTTTCTAATGCTGCAGCCATTTAATACAGCTCCTCATGTTGTGCTGACCCCAGCCAAGACATTATATTTGTTACTATTTCACATCTTCATTTTGCCACTGTTATGAATTGTAATGTAAATATCTGATACGCAAGATATTTAATATGTGAAGCCCATAGGTTGAGAACTGCTGTTCCAGAGGAAAACATGTGGAATATTCTTCAAGACATTGAGGTAAGTGAAAACTTTCTTTTTTTTTTAATTTATTTATTTATTAAAGATTTCTGTCTCTTCCCCGCCACCGCCTCCCATTTCCCTCCTCCTCCCCCAATTAAGTCCCCCCCCCCTCAGCCCAAAAAGCAATCAGGGTTCCCAATTAACCTTCAGCAAGCGATGAAAGGAGACAGAAAACTTTCTAAAGAAAACATCAACCTCACAGGAACTGACTCCAAGTATCCTAAATGGAATCCTGGGAAGTTTAAGTTTCTGAAGCAGAAGAAACTATCAGCAGAGCATACAGACAGCCCACAGGATGGGAGAAGTTCTAGCCCAGCTACACAGGCAGGAGCCAACATCCAGAATTTACAAACAACCACAGAAACAAAGGGTTTGATAAGCAGAATGTTTGGTGACATGAGTTGAATAATGCAACCAAAGGATTTGTAGGACAGATCAAGAGAAATACAGAATGCCAGAAATGCCAAGCCTGGTGGCACAAACTGCAATTCTAGCTGTTGAGCTGGTCACAAGTTCAAGGCCAGCCCAGACTACAGAGTGAATAAGAGGCCAGTCACGTCAGTGTACTTTGACCCTGTCTTAATAAGCAAGCAAACGAATGAAGGTTTGGGGATGTATCTCAGAGATGAAACTCTTGCCTAACATGCATGAAGTCTAAGTTTAATCAACAGTGTCTTTGACAGAGAGGGTGGACGGCCAGACTGGGCAGGTTGTGACACCATGTAAGGGCATCATGAGTGACAGAACTCCTTTTCCCACCCTTTGACACACACCTAAAAGAAACTCGACCTCTAAAGTCAAAATTTATCTTTTCAATTAAGAGCTAAGGGCCCCAATCAGGAGAACCTCGTTGACTGTGGGCTCAGAAGGCATGGTTCCCTGCACAGCCTGAGCCCTGTAACTATACTAAGAATAAGGTGCAGGTCATGTATTTTTAAATATGACTTCCTTGATCATTTAATCCCAACCCTCATTTACAAATGGAGAAGCTGGAGACACAGAGAAGCCAAGACAGTACAGGCTATCCCAGAGGGCAGACTATCCCAGAGTACAGGCTATCCCAGAGCCAGGACAGAATGTAAGTCCTTCCCAACCCACCAGGCAACTTCTTGAAGACTGACTGTTCTTAATCATTAGGGGTATAGTGTATGTGAATGCATGCGTGCATTCGTGTGTGCATGTGTGTGTGCAAGTGTGTGCAAAAGGTGTCTCGGTTGCCATTCCCCAGGTGCTGCCCACCTTGAGTCTTTTTATTGTTAATACTTTTAGTTTTTGAAATGAAAATAAAATTTTATTATTCCCCTCCTTCTCTTTCCTCCCTCCAACCCCTCCTACATGCTCCCTTGCTCTCTTGCAAATTTGTGGCTTCTTTTTCTTTGACTGTTAAGAATACATGTATATATATAATATGTATGTATGTATATATCCTGCTCAGTCCATAGCCCACCCTTTTTTTTTTTTGGAAACAGGGTCTGTCTCTCTCTCTCTCTCTCTCTCTCTCTCTCTCTCTCTCTCTCTCGCACACACACACACACACACACACAGAGTTGGGGAAAGTGTCAGGAGAAGTAAGAAGACTCATTCCTAGAGCCAGCACACTGTCATGCTGGAGACATGAAGCAATCTCCCTGCCCTTCCTGAAATAACCCTGTAATGTGGAGACAACATGAAAATGTTCTAGACCTGCAGAGCTGTCCCTGTGCTGATAGGGCTGCAATCACATTGCCCTAAGAGAGAGGTGGTGGCATTTCCTCTGTCCCCAGGCAACACCTGAGGCTTCAGGAGCCCTAGCCAGCTTGATCTGGGATCTCCCATCTCTGCCGTCCTATGCTAGAATGACAGGGAAGCCACCACATCCACCGGGCATTTGCCTGGTTCTAGAGATCCAAACTCCAGGCCTCTTCTTGTGCAGCAGGACCTTTAACGCTTGAATCGTCTCCCCCATTCCTGAGCTAGTTTGTTTAGAGAGACACAACTCAACTCACCCTTTCCCACATTTCTTCATGATCAGATCTCCCGAAATGTTTGTTCTTCCTTCTGCTGGCCCGCTCTTCCCATTTGCCTTCCCACCCACCTGCAATCTATTCCTCAGCCCCTCATACAGATTCCAGGCTAAACGTTACCTCTGGAACTACTGAATTCCTGCCGCCTCCTCCCCACGGTTCTATACCACACAGCCCACAAGGACAGGATCTATCCACTTCATTCATCCTGTAGCTCCAGATGGAGTCAAGAAGATGCTTGTCACACTCAACAGCGAGTTCGTGGATTGTCCACTCGAGGGGGAGCACTGCATGCTAGGCCTACAGGACACCAAGATGCAGCCCAGCGAAGCCCAAGGGAGAGACTGTAGAGGAGACAACCACAAAAACCATATCTAGAGATGGACTGGGTCACCAAGGCTTAGAGGAGGAATAGACCAACAGAGGAGGAAATGCGAGAAGGGATCCAGGCAGGAGTGGGAGTAGGAGTGGGGGTCCAGCCCAGGCAAACACTAGGAGGTGAGACTGGGCTTCAGGCTCTTGTCAAGAGTGAGTGCCATCCTTGCTCAAGGCAACTGGCCCCAGCAAAGTGGTTAGTTGTCTAAAAGATAGCATTTCTCCACAGCTCACCACCACCTCAAAGTGAAGACAATTCAGACGCCATAGGCTTTGTCATGGCTCCAAGAGGGACCTGACTATGTTTGCATCTGAGTCCAGCCCATCATCTCCAGGAAGCCATGGCCTTGCTCATACTTTGGGTCCTAAACCCTGGGACTTTTAAATAACTCTCTGGAAATACACAGCATATACCCTTATGGAGCTGGGCAGGGACGGTCACAGGAAGGGACTCCCTTACCCTGATGGCCAGGATTCTTGTTCTTCTGGTATTCAAACCAGCAGCACTGACACACGGGGTCGTTTTGTCATTCCGTCCCAGACTGAGCGTGGCGTCCAGCGCTACTGTGGTGTGGTTCAGGTTTTGATACTTCCTGAGCATAACTTATCCAGTGCTTCCCACTCTGCTCCATATCATAGGAATGACCCATTGTTCTAGAAGAAATCCATGTTGATCAATGTGGGGCAGGCTGCATATAGAAGGCAAATTACACAAATATGAATTACAGATAACTATGATTAATTCCTCGGCCAGACGGAGCCCCGATTCTCACCGTGCCCTTGGGCTGCACAGGTGACAGGGCTGAGGACAGCACTCGGGATGGCCGCCCCATCCAGCCATTCATTACCATGATGTCCCCATCACTGAGCCTACTGATGAGATTATTGATCCCAGGAAATAATTATATGAAGTGTACCGTGTAAGCTCCGGCTATTGTCTTTGGAAGTGCCTACCGCAGGGGGAATGTGAGCTTTTGTCATTTTTAGAAGCGTCTCACTTTTATGAATGAACTACCGGCAACTTTTCAAGCTAACTTTGACTGGGACAAAGCAAGAGCGAGAGGAGAGGAATAAACACAGGAGGAGGAAAAAAAAAAGAAAAAGAAAAAGAAAAAAAGTATCTGGGGGAAGGCAGGGAGTCTAGTACCCAGTAGATGGTGCTGTGATCAAATTCTAAACCTGTCACCGACTCTCAGCAACCGATAGAGGAAGTGAGGGGAAATGACAAGCCCGTCAGTGTTAAAGGCATACAGTTAAATGGCTTCAGCCATTTCCCTCACTTTAAATAAAGATTAATCATGACGGTGACGACGACAGCGACGGTGAGGAAAGAGGAGGAGGAAGCAAAGCTCCCAGCTCGGAACCGTCGGCTCCAGTGGACAATATGAGGTAAGGGAGACCGAGTGGTCAGAGTCACAGAGCCTAACAGATTTGTTCCCCCTAATTCCAGACCCCTCCCCCCAGTTTCCAGACCACTCCAGCCCTATGGAAACCCCTGGAAAGTCAGACAAGGGCAAGAAGAGGCTTTGGCACCGTGTACTGACTGACACCCACGACATCTTCAATTCTATTTGCATATGCTTTTCCACATAAAGAGATCTACCAGAAAAACTGTTCGAGTTTTTTGAATAAATAACAGGAATGGAGCCAAGCATGGAAATGAGCGTCAGTTTCTCTGATGCTGCCTGTTAGCTCGCTCCAGTGTCCTTCCAAGGTGTCAGCCCCTCAATCTGGGAAGGCAGGGCCGTCTTTGTGGGAGCAAATGTTCCGGGGAAAGCTGGAGAAGCAGGTACCGACCTCCCCGCCGAGAGAGAGGGGCCTGTGAAAGAGTAGGAAACACAGGGTGCTAGGATTTTTTTTCCCGTGACCCCACGGTCAGCTGTCCTCATGGGAGACCCCAGGAGTGCAAGCCTCCTCTCATAGATACCCCGAAGTATCATTGACAAAGGGCTCATTGACAAAGGGCCGGCACGTCCAAGAAAGCATGCGCACAGTGCTCGATATTCATCGAGGTAGAATGTTAGAGCAAAGGTCAAAGCCAGGTGAGTGCAGCTGAGAGGGAGCCTGACTGCTGGAGGCAGTGATGGGCTGGAAATGACCCCTGAAGGCTCAGGGTTTCAAGGACAGCGAGCTGAAGGTGGGCAGCCGGCTCTCCACTCCTGGTACCTCCAAGCTGTTTTCCCTTATCCTTGTCCCCTAAATGCCGCAGGATAACACTGTCTACTTGGCATTGGCCATGTACTAGCCGTTCCAAGGCATCTAGGAAAGGATTAAAGTGTATGAGTGGGTGAGAGTGTAATTGTGAACAACTCAAGCACTCCTGGTTTTTGCTCTCCCCTTCGACACCGAGGAACAGCTGCGTGTTTCTATAAGGAAGGTGCTCGGTGTTCAGGGCTTCCTTTCTGGGAGCTGCTCAGTTGACCTTCGTACTATCCCAAGGATAAAATCCTCCAAAAGGAGTAAGTAGGACAGTAGGATGGGAGAAAGTAGATCTTGTGCTCCGAGCTGAAATCCCAACGTGTAACTAAGAAACAAGGAGGAAGAGGAAAAGGGTCAGGTAGTAGTCAGGAGGTGGGCATCAAAAGACCTGGCATGGGAGGAACAAGATCTCATTAAGAATTAGATGGAGAAATAAAAGCCCAGGGCAGAGACCCTTCCTCTCCCCTAAGCTCCTCGAAGGGAGGAACTGGATATCCCATAGTGTCTCATAGGAAGAGCGTAAGCTCAGCAGGTATAACCCCAACTTCATTATCGAGACTTCGTCTCCTGAGCATTGCTCTAAGGGAGAAAAAGAAAGGAGAAGCAGAAGTTCGAACCAGTGACAGAGCTCGCAGGCACAGCAGTTTGTGTGGGAAGGGCCGGTCATTGTTTGTTTTGAGATGGGACACACACACTCAATTTCCCAGGCTGGCTTTGAACTTTGAACTTTGCAGTGGCTGAGATGACAGGCCCTCACCATCAGGCCTAGTTCCTTCAGTATAGCTGAGCTGTCTGTTCCTGAAGAGGCACTGGGAAGGAAGAGGCACCGAGCTCAACGCAGGATTCTGGAATCTCTGGGCCTCTCTTCTGACTGGCTGGCCCTGGTCGTCTTCCTCACCTCAGGACCCAGCAGCCATCCAGCTGCCACCTTCTATGTGATCTGACCAGCCTTTCCCATCAGGTAAGCATTTAGACTTGCCTAAATGTTTTTGGCATCTCTGGATGTGAAACCACAGCAAAGCCCGGAAACCTGTTCATAAATCACAAACACTCATGCAACATGGCTCTCGTTCCTCCACCAGGGCACCGTGGATGCATCTCCTTCCATCTAGTCCACAGCAGGTTTCCGCTAATGAGAGGTTTCAGCACCCTGACTCTCCCAGGAGTCCCTCCTAAACACAACCCCAGTGCCATGAGCAGGGGTAGGGCGCTGCCCACATCACAATCCTGCATCTTCACTTGCTGATTCTATGTCCTCAACCCTGGTGTGTTGCTAATCTGCTATTTAGGAGTGGCACCCAGGTATGTTTGATAATTCCTGCAATCACCAGTTGTGTTTTTGCTAGCATGTTCCTCCAACCACCGGAAGTCAGGGATGTAACCTGGGTCGGTGTGGTATACGGAATACAGGCAGTCTCTCTGGTACTTAAAAAATAAGAGGTGGGGGTCATTGTTCCACCTGCCAAGTCCTGGCCTTGCCTTTAAACTACAGTCCTCCTCTGTGTCCCTCACTATGAGTGCTCCTGAAACGCCCCCTGAATAGATCTCCAACTGGATAGAGAGAAAGCAATATGTAAGTGGCTAAGGACTCTACCACAAGGGAGCAACAACAAATCCTAACTCCACAGGGATCACCATCTAGTGTCCTCTCAGCTTCCCAAGCCAGAGTCTAGCTTTGACAATAATGAAAACTACAACTTGACCCACCCACCCACTTCCAAACAGGATGCCGACCTGCTTCCTGGGTCTATGCTGAGGGAGATTCTGAGCAAGGAGCTGTGAGGGGGAAAGACACGTTTCTGACTGCATGGAATGTAGCCTGGCAGGGACCCAGAACTGTAAACAAGTAATTACACAGATGAGCATTTAATTACACGTGTGATAGAGGCCGAGAAGGAGGGGAGGGGCGGGGAGCCTGCAAGCAATGGGGCTACCCAACCTCATGGAGAGCAGGGATCCCTAAGAGAGCGGGGCTGTGACTGAGGCCAAGAGCAACTTAGAACATCAAGAAGGAAAGACAAGCTAGAAAAAGGGAGGTGAGGTGAACTGGCTGATTGACAGCCTGATCATAGGCACTTCTTCCAAACTGCTCTTCCCTGGTGGTTTCTGTAGCTGTTGCAACAATGTAGCTGGGGGCAGGGAGGTGCCTCTCTCCCTTAACAGGTGTGAAGGACCTTCTTGAATCCTCAGCCGGTGTCAAGTACCCAGTCTTTCCTACTACAGCCTCCTCAGGACCACAGGCAAAGCCCTCAGGCTTTCTTTCCCAGAATCCCTTTCCCCATGTGCTTCTGGGATAAGATCCCAATGGTGAATATGGGAGTCGGACCTTGACTCCAGGTGCAGCTGCCCAAAGATGGATGTGCCCCACAATCAGGTCTGCCAGCTAAGGTCAGCTCACCGTCCTTGGAGCTGAAGGTGGATGAGGTTGACAGAGCTGCCCTCCCTGTTCCCAAGTTAACGGAGGCCAGGAGAGGAATCTCCTGCTAAGTAGCTGCTTGTCTGCCTGTCCTTTGCTATTGTCCTGCAGAATCCATTCCTGTGATGAAGTCCCGCTTCTTCTAAATCTGGAGACTCAGCAGGGAAGATAGGGCTCCTGCCATGAAAGCATTCGGAGGCAGACTACTGCATCTTCTCTGAGGGTTTGCATTTCAAAGCTGGGAACAAAGAGGACAGATGTGTAAATGTCCTTGGTCACCCTGCAGGTGAACACAACTGAAAGAACGGGCCCTGTAAGGGCTCTCCTACAGCAAGGTCTTCACAGCCAGAATGGAACCCTCAGCATCTTCCTGCCACCCCTGAGATTCTACTCCGTCCCAGGGAGGGGAAGGACGAGAAGGACTAATTAATCTCCCAACATTCATGCTCTTGCCGAAGAGAGCACTTCAAAACTAGGCACAGAATGGGTGCAAAGACACTTGTCACTTTTGATGGGTGAGAAGTGGACTTTTTCCTCTCTCGTTGCCTACCTTTCCTCAAGGGAGGAAGGGCTTCTTTCTCCAGGATGCAGACTTCCCAGGGTGCTGCTGACACAGGGCCTAGGCTCATCTCTGTGGAGCCCAGGGTAGGAGGGTAGAGGAACTGGCACTGCTCCAAAGACAAGAAGAGGGTGGGGAAGACAGGAGATGGTGAGGAGGGAGGGGGAGAAGGGAAGAGAAAGGGGAGGCTCTTCATTGATTTTCTATACCATCTCCTCCTATGCTTTCCCCAAGTTTTAGTTGAATAAATTTTTAAAATACAAATGAGACTTTTTAATAAAATTATTTTTAACAAAAAACCTAAAATTTTCACAAGTTAATCCCAAAGTTAGATTCCAGAAAAATTCTGTATTCAAGAATTGCCGTATTTTTCAATAGAGTAATGAAACATGGGAAAACATCTGCCTATGGCAACTAGAAAGCTCAAAGCCAGACTAAATATTGAGGAACAGCAGCCCTGGGGACCCCCCCTCTAGGTTAAAAAAAAAAGAAAGAAAGAAAAATTTGCTTCATCTAAATTCCATTTCTGTAGCTAATTTTCTAGCATTTACTCTGTATATGTGTATGAATTTACATCCTGGCACTTGTAGTGCAAGGGTGATCTTAAGAATATAAACAGGAGTTCCTTGCTCGTGCTCCCTCTCCTTCTGCTCCTGATTTGGACCTTGAGATTTCTGTCCGATGCTCCCGTGTGGGTCTCTGTCTCTGTCTCCTTTCATCGCCTGATGAAGGTTAATATTCCTGAGGATGCCTATGTGTTTGTCTTTGGATTCACCTTATTTAGCTTCTCTAGGAACATGAATTATAAGCTCAATGTCCTTTATTTATGCCTAGAAACCAAATATGAGTGAGTACATCCCATGTTCCTCTTTTTGGGTCTGGCTTACCTCACTCAGGATAGTGTTTTCTATTTCCATCCATTTGTATGCAAACTTCAAGAAGTCCTTGTTTTTTACTGCTGAGTAATACTCTAATATGTATATATTCCATACTTTCTTCATCCATTCTTCCGTTGAAGGGCATCTAGGTTGTTTCCAGGTTCTGGCTATTACAAACAATGCTGCCATGAACATAGTTGAGCATATACTTTTGTTGTATGATAGGGCCTCTCTTGGGTATATTCCCAAGAGTGGTATTGCTGGATCCAGGGGTAGGTTGATCCCGAATTTCCTGAGAAACCGAAACACTGCTTTCCAGAGTGGTTGCACAAGTTTGCATTCCCACCAGCAATGGGTGAGTGTACCCCTTTCTCCACAACCTCTCCAGCAAAGGCTATCATTGGTGTTTTTTATTTTAGCCATTCTGACAGGTGTAAGGTGGTATCTTAAAGTTGTCTTGATTTGCATTTCCCTGATCGCTAAGGAAGTTGAGCATGACCTTAAGTGTCTTTTGGCCATTTGAAGTTCTTCTGTTGAGAATTTTCTGTTCAGATCAGTGCCCCATTTTATAATTGGGTTGATTAGAGCACGAGCAAGGAACTCAGGACCACGAGGGGTGCACCCACACACTAAGACAATGGGGATGTTCTATTGGGATCTCACCAAGGCCAGCTGGCCTAGGTCTGAAAAAGCATGGGATAAATCCGGACTAGCTGAACATAGCGGACAATGAGGAATACTGAGAATTCAAGAACAATTGCAGTGGGTTTTTGATCCTACTGCACGTACTGGCTTTGTGGGAGCCTAGGCAGTTTGAATGCTCACCTTATGAGACCTGGATAGAGGTGGGCAGTCCTTGGGCTTCCCACAGGTCAGGGAACCCTGATTGCTCTTCGAGCAGATGAGGGAGGGGGACTTGATCGGGGGAGGGGGAGGGAAATGGGAAGCGGTTGTGGGGACGAGGCAGAAATCCTTAATAAAGAAATAAATTTAAAAAATAAAAAAAAAAGAAAAAAGAAAAAAAAAGAATATAAACAGGACAACAAGCTAGTTCCATGGGTAAGGGTGATGGCTGCCAAGCTTGATGACTTGAGTTCACGTTCTGGGTCCTGCATGGTAAAAAGAGAGAGGAGACTCATACAAGTTGTCCTCTGCCGCAGTGAGCCCACAGTCACCCCATCCGCATACATACCCAGCCGGCCCCATACATACACAAAGGTATAAATAAGATTAAAATCTAGTGCCGCACATAAATACAGAAGCAAAAGCACAAAGAGAAGAGAACAGGAGGACAGGCATGGTCTAGAAGGGAGGCACAGCAGTTAAAAGCATGCATCGCTCTGGCAGAAGACCCAACTTCAGTTTCCAGCACCCCACATCAAGCTGCTCGAGCTGTCTGGAACTCCAGTTTCTGGGGACTCGATGCCCTCTTCTGGCCTCCCCACAGGCGTCTTTCCACATGAGCATGGACCCATACACAGACACACGCATGCAAATAGAAATAAAAATAAAATACTTTTTTTTTTTAAAGAAGAAAGGGTCAATACAATCATAAAATCAAGCCTTAGCATGCAGGGATGCAGGCAAGAATCAGGGCTGAAACATTCCCAGCCCCTGAAGAGGAGCTCACTGGCCATTGGTGGCACTGGGCTCTCATTTCAAATAGGCACCATTTGAGAAATGCCCTGCTCTGAAACATGGAAAAATGAGAAATTATAGGCCTATCTAACAAATCAAAAATAAATGAAGTAACAACATAAAGGTAGATTTACCGTTATTTATAATTTACCATTTTTACCTTGTTTTCAATTGTCTCTCGTCCTCTTCATTTGAGGAGCCCATTACATTTTATTATGCTAAACCCTATCTTCTGTCACATAAATTATAGTTAAAGATCTTAATATTAAAGCCTCTTAGCTCAGAGATCATATTTCAAGCTTTGTTCAAACCAGACGTTAATGCTGGAATTGAACACAGAACGCTCTGTCTTCATTACCCACCATCTCAGAAGTATAATACAATTTTTGCTATATATGGCACAAAAATGCCTCTTGGTATAACACTGAATTATGGAGATATATTGATTTCTGCAGTATTTTGACAAAACAATAAAACTAAACCTGTTAGCTGCTAAACAGACACCCAGACATCAGCGCGGCCATGATAGCAGCAGTCATGAAGATAAAGACTCCATCTAGCCCAGTTACAGCAGGAAACTAGTCAAGCCCTCGTCTGCCCCACCAGTTCCTGCTGCACACACAGCTGTCAATTTCACTGTCCTTTCTCCCCAGGAAAGTGAAGAGGGAGGAAGGTTTGTCATTGGCTCAAATCAGAATCCTAAACTTCACTTACCAGTTGGGGGACCTTGAGCAACTAATTTAAGTTCTGTATGACTGGGTCTCTTCATGAGTCAAAGGTACAATATAAACCCAGTGGGATTCATTTATGAGTTAATACACACACACATACACATAGGCACACACACACACAATATACCCAACATACCCTTGACCCAGCAGGTACCTGATAAGCAATGACTTGCCAAAATGATTCTTCAAATAAGGTTGCACAGACAACATGAGGCACAGTAGGGTGAGTTAGGAGAACCGACCACACTGTATCTTTCCTTGGTCTTTCTTTCCCCCAAGATTCTGGGGCTCATCTTGCCTGCTTTCTGTCTCCAGTATGAAGGTCTGGCCAACCCCAGAGGGTTATTTGGGGACAAAGTACAATAAGAGATATGACTGTGCTTTGCAAAGGAAAAACGCTGCTCACTCATGAAGGATTATTATTACAAATCAGACTTACCAGCACCCTCAGAGTGCTGTGTAGTTCCGAGTCAGGCATTGGGCCAGCACAGAAAAGGGACTTTTCAAAGATAAATCAGCGTGTCCTTTTACCCCCCAGTAATGGTGGCAATAACAGCAGCCGACTGAGCACCTAACTTTCCCCCAGCAATAAGGCAGGGTTGCCACGGCTGCAGTTTGCAGGTATTAAGCACCTACTATGAGCCAAGCCCCAAATACACTGGCATGGTGATCTCATTTCACTCAGTGACTCCTGGGAACATGGGCACTGGTATAATGCGTGTTTCTTAGTACTGATTCTAAGAGGGAGAGGTCCAAGGATTTACCCAAGCACCATGGCTGCCGAGGGGTAGCCCAGGATGAGATGCTGCCTTTCCATGCCAGCATGCTCCTCCAGGCTCTGAGGAGGCTCCTGACCAGGTCTTCAGGTTGGTGCAGGACACCTGAGAAGCTCTGAGGATTTCAGTTTTTCCACAAGTCACCACAGCCAGTTGGCACATTTGAGGAAGAGAGGGGATTTTTGAGACAAGATCAGGGCTTGAGTCTTAGAGTCCCTATTGCTGGGCTGAGTGATCCTGCCCAAATCCCCTTACCATCTCTGATCCCAAGCAAGAGCCCCACACTTTCTGATCCTCACCCCATGCAATACACCAGTGGACGCTGTTCAAAACATCTGTGTTCAGACTTGAGGCTACTGCAGGTCTGGAACTGCAGTGGTTTCACCGTCTGCACAGTTTCCGAATCTTTAATGGTTTAATAGCCTTTTCCTATTTTCCTAACAACATTGTTCCGCATGTGAGGAGCACATTAATGTATCTTTTGGTTGTATAGTATTGGAATGTTTAACTTTAAAAACCTTTCCTTGAGTTCCTGGCTTCAGTTTCATTTTTTAAATAAAAGCATTAAATTAATCTTGACTTGGGATTAGGATGGAATTTTCAATGATTTTTGTAATGGTCTTCCTTCATATAGTACCACCATTTTGTATACATATTTATGCAAAACAGTTTTCTTGGCACTGACATAAAATCAAAAGATTGATCAACTCTGAAAACCACTGAGGACGCTTTACATTCTGAAGCACAAATATTCCAAGATATACTATATATGTATGTATGTATGTATATTGCTTTATCTTTAATAGGTAAAGTTATATGCATATCAAATAACTGTTTTCAAATAAATTTCCATGATTTAGTATTAGTAAATATTTTATTTATATGCATATTTTGTATACTTATGTATACATGGTCACACAAAAATCTCTAAGGGGACAAAGGGGTCATGACCAAAAAGACCTTAAGAAGCATGAGACCAGTAAAATGGCTCAGGGGTACATGAACTTGTCTCCATTTTGACATCCTGGGTTCTTTACCCCAAGAACCACATGATGGAAGGGGAGAATTGGCTCCACTCTGCCATGCCCAGGTGCACACTCATCTCAC